TCAAACTAATCTGAAATTCAAAAGCGGTCTAAGCACCAATTCTAGACAAATTATCCTCTAATTTTGTCTACACAGCAACAAATTCAGACAATTTTTCTGAGTCCGAAACACACTAGATTTTTTTTGAGTATTGCTTGTCGGTATACTTTATCACATACGAGCGGTTCTTGAGCTAAAATCGACTCAAAAAACCTATCCCACGCCATAGCTGCACTATCCTACGCCATAGCTGACATGGTTAGAACAAAATATAATACTCAAATTCATGCCTGTAAGTAATTTGTAGTTTTTTCTAAGAGTCTAACCAAAATTAAAAGAAGAAAAACTCAAGATACGCACATCAATATTGAAAAACTCAATATTTTTTTGGTTTGACATGATTTTCAAGAACTTAATCATTTTGATGGTTTTGTCTCAATTAGCATAACTCTCAAACAGCACAAAATTTATGCAATAGTTCCGTTAAAAAATTTAGAACTAATTTTTCGTGAATAAAGTGAGAAAAATAGTCAAATTGTCAATTTCAATGTTGATTGCCATTTTATCTTGAAACATTTAAAAATTTTTTTATCAAAAGCGAAAAACATAAGAGAGCGGTGATTGATAAGCTTCTTGTGGTCAGTTTTTCAGACAAGTTTGCTGCTTAACAATTGTCTGGAAGCAATTAAAACCAGATCTTGTGCCCATATTTTTGTTCCTGACAAAATTAGAAATTGATAAAAAACGTTTGAACTACAATGAAAAATATGAAATATGAGCCATATGAGAAAAATTTGTTTTCATGCCGTTTGGGAGTTATGCCATTTGGGAAGTTACCATCTTGATCATTCTTTTGCATCTTTTCAATGAATATTTTCAGTAGCGTGATTTTTTGATGAAAGTTTTTTTATAAGTTTTGTATTTTTTTTCCAATGAAAAAGTATCATTTTAATTGTGGATCTCTTACTGAAACTTGGTCCTGTATTTAATAATGTTGTATGAGTGTAACTAGCTTTCATCAGTGTTCAAGTCAGACTTTTCACTGTTTTATATCACCCGCCAAAAGCAACTTAAGTATGAACGTAGTGGTTACTTTCATGGCGCATGTTTTTGTCTGCATATCTCAATAGATCCTATCCGAAGATAAAGCGAAAATTTATACATTAATCTTCAGCTCACGAAAATAACATACCAAAATATTTAAAAAAAAATTCTGTTTCTTTTTTAATCTCGAATGCTTTCTCCAATTGTAGTTTCGGGAGTTTTCTGGTTGTTTAGTAATGATGATTGTAGCATACTGCTATTTAAATGGGCTTGACAATTTTCCATTATATGCACCTGGTTTTCAAGAGATTAGTCGATAAGAAATGAATGGCATTCGGAATGATACTCAAATTAAATAACAATAAAAATTTCCACCAAAAAAATATTTATCAGCTATTTCTACGCCTGACATCATCCGAGAGGAACCTGAAGGTATTCATTCACTTTCACACAATTAGCGCCTATTAAGTAGCTTGTGGCGTTCGCATGTTACCTTTGGTTTTCTAAAAAAAACTTGGCTTGAGAGATCCCAAAACTTCCAGAAGATTTTGACTCTTGAGAATTTTTGTCCGATTTTTTATCCTCACTTCCGAGTGCTAAGTAGAGCATAGAGCGAATCTTCTTGTCAGCTTCTTCCATTCGAATTCCGTTGATTGTCTTGGCTTCTGATTTGATTCTGGCGCTTTCGAATTCGTTAAATCTTCTCCTTTCTTCAGCGTTTCTTGCTTTTCGATCAGTTTTTGCAGTTGTCGTTTCATATTGAGGTTCTTCCCCTAGGAATCTGCCCTCATGTCAAATTCGTTCATAGATCGTTTCACCATAACAAAAGTTACTTTTGCTTTCACTAAACTAGGCGCAAAATAAACAAGAATTAAAAATAGAGTTCAATTAAAATATGCGTTATTTCTGAAAAAGAAATGACAACACTGAAGCATGCTCACTGCGATGGATGTCGCTAGCTGCAGAAAAGTATTATCAGACCGGTTAGATAAAATGAGATAATGAAATCATAAGACATCACAACACTTCCCCTAATGTCAAAATTTTTCCAAAAAATAACCCATTCGAAGGGAGTGATGCTTTTCGACCTTTGGACGAAAGTGAAAAAGAATTAGGAAATCACAAGTAATTAGTACACTAGATAGCGGTTAGCGAAGGGTATTTTGGTACAACAAAAAATTGAATTAAAACTTATGTGATTAACTAACTCGTTAAATCTGAGAATGAGGTAATCAGTGCCTAATTAAAAAACCGACACTATGAGGTTAACATCATGAACGCCCATTTTTGTCGAGGAGAGGATTTGGCTTGGACACAGTTAGAGCTTTAAATGATATTGCGACTAATTGTTTTTAAAGACATTACGAATCTCGAAAAATTTAATGACTGCACCGATGGTTAATGACTTGAGGTGAATTGAAAGTTTTGGTGGTTGAGGAACTAATAGTACACAAAACTAGAATGGATAACGCCCAAAATAAAAAAAAGTGACAGATTCAGATGAAGGAAGAAAAGCTCAAGAGAGTTTTAGTTAAAATATTGAAAATAAAACATTTCAAAAAATCTTATAAACAGCTTGTTTTTTTGCCTTGTTTGCAAAAAAAAATGATCAAAACTGTTTTTAGACCCTTGGATCGATCTGCCCCGGAGTCTTTTTGAAGTTTTAGTGAGTGGAAATCTATCCAACAAAAACTTGGAAACCAGATCTGAGCATCGTAAAATCTTGCCTATTTCAGATCTTGTCCACACATGGTGCATGTTTCGTTTGGACATGGACATGTCTGAATCAGGACTGAGGCAGGCATGGATTCCATCACGAAAACAGATCTGCTCAAGGCCTGATTCAGACCTGGGGCACACATGGGTCAGACCTGGTGCAGATCTGCAGCAGGTCTGACCCATGTGTGCCCCAGGTCTGAATCAGGCCTTGAGCAGATCTGCTTTTGTGATGGAATCCATGCCTGCCTCAGTCCTGATTCAGACATGTCCATGTCCAAACGAAACATGCACCATGTCTGGACAAGATCTGAAATAGGCAAGATTTTACGATGCTCAGATCTGGTTTCCAAGTTTTTGTAAGGTACTGGTCGAAATATATCGCTCGAAATATATTCAATTGTATTAAATTGGCCAAAACGCAATCTTTAAACCCCATTACGTTACGAAAAAACTCACAGGTATAATAGTTTTTCAAATTTAATCTCAAGATAAAAATAGTTTTTGAATGATATAAAAAAAATTGTCAAAAATTGTCAAAAATAGTTAAAATGTCAAAATTTGTCTGAATAAAAAAACTCACCCGGAGAACAAATATTCCGTTGCCTTCGTTACGGAAGTCGGAACAAAAATAAAAAAAGTTTTCAGAACCAAATGTTCTCCAAATTAAATGCTTTTGGCACGAAAAAACATGTTAGAAGGAAAAGTGTGGGTTTTTATTTTGCACTACTTAAAGTTTCAAAAACTAGCTAATTTCAGGTTTTTAAAATCAAACTAATCTGAAATTCAAAAGCGGTCTAAGCACCAATTCTAGACAAATTATCCTCTAATTTTGTCTACACAGCAACAAATTCAGACAATTTTTCTGAGTCTGAAACACACTAAATTTTTTTTGTGTATTGCTTGTCGGTATACTTTATCACATACGAGCGGTTCTTGAGCTAAAATCGACTCAAAAAACCTATGCCACGCCATAGCTGCAATATCCTACGCCATAGCTGACATGGTTAGAACAAAATATATTCATGCCTGTAAGTAATTTGTAGTTTTTTCTAAGAGTCTAACCAAAATTAAAAGAAGAAAAACTCAAGATACGCACATCAATATTGAAAAACTCAATATTTTTTTGGTTTGACATGATTTTCAAGAACTTAATCATTTTGATGGTTTTGTCTCAATTGGCATAACTCTCAAACAGCACAAAATTCATGCAATAGTTCCGTTAAAAAATTTAGAACTAATTTTTCGTGAATAAAATGAGAAAAATAGTCAAATTGTCAATTTCAATGTTGATTGCCATTTTATCTTGAAACATTTAAGAATTTTTTACCAAAAGCGAAAAACGTAAGAGAGCGGTGATTGATAAGCTTCTTGTGGTCAGTTTTTCAGACAAGTTTGCTGCTTAAAAATTGTCTGGAAGCAATTAAAACCAGATCTTGTGCCCATATTTTTGTTCCTGACAAAATTAGAAATTGATAAAAAACGTTTGAACTACAATGAAAAATATGAAATATGAGCCATATGAGAAAAATTTGTTTTCATGCCGTTTGGGAGTTATGCCATTTGGGAAGTTACCATCTTGATCATTCTTTTGCATCTTTTCATTGAATATTTTCAGTAGCGTGATTTTTTGATGAAAGTTTTTTGATAAGTTTTGTATTTTTTTTCCAATGAAAAGTATCAATTTAATTGTGGATCTCTTACTGAAACTTGGTCCTGTATTTAATAATGTTGTATGAGTGTAACTAGCTTTCATCAGTGTTCAAGTCAGACTTTTCACTGTTTATATCACCCGCCAAAAGCAACTTAAGTATGAACGTAGTGGTTACTTTCATGGCGCATGTTTTTGTCTGCATATCTCAATAGATCCTATCCGAAGATAAAGCGAAAATTTATACATTAATCTTCAGCTCACGAAAATAACATACCAAAATATTAAAAAAAAAAATTGTGTTTCTTTTTTAATCTCGAATGCTTTCTCCAATTGTAGTTTCGGGAGTTTTCTGGTTGTTTAGTAATGATGATTGTAGCGTACTGCTATTTAAATGGGCTTGACAATTTTCCATTATATGCACCTGGTTTTCAAGAGATTAGTCGATAAGAAATGAATGGCATTCGGAATGATACTTAAATTAAATAACAATAAAAATTTCCACCAAAAAAAATATTTATCAGCTATAGGGACAAGCGTGAAATTTAAAAAAATATTAAAATTACCTAATTTGGAAAAAAAACACCATCGCACGATAATAAAAATCTGGATTTGAGCAACTGGCCGTGCACTCATTACGACTTACTTTGATAATATAACATGTGGCTTTTAAACTCTGGTCTGTTTGTTTTTACACATTTATAACATACAAAATCACTGTCTTACCAACCATTGATTTTGAGCTAGAAAACATATTAAATTAGGCGCTGTTTAAATTGAATTACTCTCGAAGCAGCATTGTTCACAGTTAGAGAAGTTTTGTCAAATTTATTAATTAAATTCAGCTTACTTCAAATTGAGCTTATATCCAAAAAATTACATCATTTCAGAAAGATTTTATCGCTTGTTTCTTCTGTTTTGCTGTTTTTTGCGCTTAATGTTTTTTGCGCTATTCTCTAAAAAAACTCAAAATTCTCAAGATTGCTAGTAATTTTTTTGGTGAAAAATGAGTGAAAGTGATTTTTCTTATTTTTCGAACCAAGTCATTGCCTCTGACATCCACTACAGGCCTATTTCTACGCCTGACATCATCCGAGAGGAACCTGAAAGGTATTCATTCACTTTCACACAAGAGACCATCTCGCAGTTCAGCCAACATACGGATAAAAATTCGAAGCTATTTCAGAGCACTATCAAATCAATCGCTCCAACGAAAACAAAATTTGAAGGCAATCTTTGTAGTGCAACAGCAACTGACATGATGAAAAGACAAAACATGTCCATAGATGGTGATAACTTTTTTAATCAAACTTTAGCAATCTTAAAAGATAAGACATTCTTATTGATAAGCAATTTTTAGCAATCCTAAATAAAAAGACATTCTTAGTGATCAAATAATTTTTAGCAATCGTAAGTTTTCGCTAATTGACATGGTTGTTCCGAATCGGTCACATAATGACGCGAAGGAAATATGGCTATTTTTTCTTTCCAAAAAGTCAAAACCGGAGTCAAAGTCAACAAAAACTGGCCAGAACTTTTTTGTTTTTCAGACCAATTTCCACGGAAAGATGAGTGAGAGAGTGATTTTCTTACTGTAACATACTGCTGTCTTAGAAATATTTTAGCTATTCTGACCTCTTTATTGCATACTTTTATCTAAGTGCACTCGCTTTCAGCCCCTTCTGGTCTATTCGGGCCAAATTTAGAGCTTCTTGAGATGGTAAGGTTTCAGTTAGTAATTCTCTTTGGATATCATAGTTCCTCGTGTTTTTGATAAAATGTCGCGATCCACTCTTCTTCTGGATACATCATCTCTACTTTAGAAATCTCCGCTAGTGCGCCCCAGAAACTTTCTCTGTCTCTTTAGCGCCTATTAAGTAGCTTGTGGCGTTCGCATGTTACCTTTGGTTTTCTAAAAAAAACTTGGCTTGAGAGATCCCAAAACTTCCAGAAGATTTTGACTCTTGAGAATTTTTGTCCGATTTTTTTATCCTCACTTCCGAGTGCTAAGTAGAGCATAGAGCGAATCTTCTTGTCAGCTTCTTCCATTCGAATCCCGTTGATTGTCTTGGCTTCTGATTTGATTCTGGCGCTTTCGAATTCGTTAAATCTTCTCCTTTCTTCAGCGTTTCTTGCTTTTCGATCAGTTTTTGCAGTTGTCGTTTCATATTGAGGTTCTTCCCCTAGGAATCTGCCCTCATGTCAAATTCGTTCATAGATCGTTTCACCATAACAAAAGTTACTTTTGCTTTCACTAAACTAGGCGCAAAATAAACAAGAATTAAAAATAGAGTTCAATTAAAATATGCGTTATTTCTGAAAAAGAAATGACAACACTGAAGCATGCTCACTGCGATGGATGCCGCTAGCTGCAGAAAAGTATTATCAGACAAGTTAGATAAAATGAGATAATGAAATCATAAGACATCACAACACTTCCCCTAATGTCAAAAGTTTTCCAAAAAATAACCCATTCAAAGGGAGTGATGCATTTCGACCTTTGGACGAAAGTGAAAAAGAATTAGGAAATCACAAGTAACTAGTACACTAGATAGCGGTTAGCGAAGGGTATTTTGGTACAACAAAAATTGAATTAAAACTTATGTGATTAACTAATTGAAGTTACTGTTAGGTTTTCTCGACAGAACAACTCGTTAAATCTGAGAATGAGGTAATCAGTGCCTAATTAAAAAACCGACACTATGAGATTAACATCATGAACGCCCAATTTTGTCGAGGAGAGGATTTGGCTTGGACACAGTTAGAGCTTTAAATGATATTGCGACTAATTGTTTTTAAAGACATTACGAATCTCGAAAAATTTAATGACTGCACCGATGGTTAATGACTTGAGGTGAATTGAAAGTTTTGGTGGTTGAGGAACTAATAGTACACAAAACTAGAATGGATAGCGCCCAAAATAAAAAAGAAAAATGACAGATTCAGATGAAGGAAGAAAAGCTTAAGAGAGTTTTAGTTTTTGAGTCAAGACCAATGTCTTTCAGATACTTCTCACATTGTCTATTGGGTTTCGAATCGATGTCAGAATCATCAAAGTTTTCTATCACGGATGGTGGTGAAGAGGTAAGTAGTTCTTGTCCTTCTTACTCGTTAAAATTTCTCGATTAGGGGATCATTTCTGTCGAAATTGCTGAAAATATGGGTATCATTTCTGTCGGAATTGCTGAAAAACAGTTGTTCGACCAAAAATTTTCAACAGCCCCCCTCATTCTCGGTAATTTTGTCGCTGGCTGTGCCCTAATTGATTGTAAATGGATTCTCCGCACTCCCCAATCGTTGATCACCTACAACATCCATATATAACCTTCCACCATAAAGTTTTGGTGACCCAGCATTTCGTCTTGGTCTAGTAGAAATTCGGTGGTTATGTTCTAGTGACTTTGACTCTTCTAAAAAAAAATGATCGACCGGAGTATCGTAGAAGTCGAAAGACGAAGGAGTTCAGTCTGTTCAAGGTATCTGAGTCCAGTGCGTTTCTTGATGGGAGCTGGTATTATGCATATGGGGAAATCCGTTGATCGTCCCTGTGATTTCCAATCTAAATCTACATATTCTGATTTAGTTTGATTATCCATGGAAATGTGCTCGTTGTTAATGTGTGACATACGATTGTTAAGGTCACCAATGAGCATTTTCCCGCCTACGTCCCCACAAGGAAAACCACCTACGGTCCACTCCCAATCCTTACAGTCCGACATGTCAAAAAGTCAGAAAAACGATACGTCTTCAGCCAAATAACCTGGAGAGAAGTGATTTCGTTTGGCTCCTTCCGTTGAAATCTCCTCTTCATCTATGAGGGTTTTCTGGATTTATGAGATTTTAATGAGGTTAATTTAGTCTTTGTGAGGTTATATGAACGTCTTGTTTTGTTGGCCACGTCTTGTTTTGTTCTTGAGCACATTTTTAAAAATTGTTTCATATAGCAATATGAGATTCTCTCAGGGGTTTTCCTTTTGCTAGTTTCACTGTTGTATTAGAAGAAGGGATAATTTTCTCGCCCAATTGTCGGTAAAAGAGTTCCTGTACTTTCGACTTGAATTTTTTTGAAAAAAATTACCTCTCTTTAGTGGGTTTGAAAGATCTAGTCTCGTTGTATATTTTGCAGGGAATTTCTGCATTGATGAAGGACTAGGCTCGGAGTCGTATTCTTTCTCTTCTGGGTTTCGAATTTCGTTGTTTAAGGAGTGTGTAGGTATCAATCCTCTACACTGTCGTCTGCAGCCCATTTGAGTGCCTTGTTGTTTTTTGGCATTATTGATTTTCTGTTGTATAGAAAGTGTTTATGATTGTGACTGATCTAAGTCTTGCAGGGGGTGTTTGGTGTTCTGCTGAAGTGTTTTTCGACTGGTTTACAATTTTTTCAGACTGTTTTGTGCTCATTAAGTTCAAGATGATTTAAGAAACGGAGTCGATCAGTGAAGGCTTAGGTATTTCTGTTACAGCGTTCATTACATTATACTTTGTTACCTTGTTACGATATGTACATATCTTTCTACTAATCCGTTGGAACTGTGGTCTGCTACTGTACAAAATTTAATTTTTATTGCATTCGAATCACAAAATGATTCGAATTCGGTCCCAGTAAAACATGAATCGTGGTCAACCCGAACTGAAATAAGGGTTTCGTGTGGATGAATATAATCGGTAAGAAAATCAATCACTGTTTTGGCGGAAGTAATTGAACTAATTTTTGCAGAGGGAAAGTTTGAGAATCTATCTATAAATAAGAAGATATGTTTACATGAGTCCCACGATATATATTTCATAGACCAGTAAAAACTAAATCGATTTCCTGGTTTACAAAATTACGGTCGGGAAGATGATTATATTTTTTTTTTACGAAAGCAAAGGCTTAAGGTTTTTACCTGCTTTTACAATACGAGCAAATCTTTCACAGAAAAAAACATCCTGTTTATGTGTGGGCATCAAACATATTCTAAAGGAAATTTTATTCCGAATTGACTTTGGTAGTTATTATGGAAAAATTTCATGGCTTCGTGCAGGCTCTTCCTAGGACAAACTTTGGCGGGTGTTCTCTGTTGTCCATGTAAAGTAATCCTTTTGCAGTATGGAGGTCTTTATTAAAATGATGAAAAAACTGCTAAAACTTGTGTTATGCATGTCCCTCTCCTCTTTTAGTGCTTCAACCAATAGTTTCAAGATGCTGTCTTCTTTAATAAGCCAGGTGATCATTTTACCAATGAGGAAGCTAATTAATTAAAGTCTTTCTGGCAATCTTAGAGAATAACGGTAGCTTTTTGCTGATGAAGATTGATCTCAGGATATAGTTTCACTTTGATACCAGATGATGAGTGAGTAATTACTAATTCATTGTTTACATTTATATTTTGTACAATAATAAATTCCATAGGACTTTTTAATAAGTTTGAATGTACATAAAAAATTTAAAAAGGTGAAATTGGATGTAGTAATTTTCGATCAATTGGTTTTGGAAAAACCCAACAGAGAACATCTAGGAGTACAAAATTAAGATCAAAAACGTTCAAAATCGCAAATTTTCAATCTGGATCTATCTAAAATTAGAATAGTTGGGATAATCTTTTTACAAAGCTATACATCATCAAAGTTTTCCAAAATTTCCGACAGAGAGATAAAAATTTGGATGTCATTTCTCCCTTGCCTGGAAAACCGACAGATTTATGAATGAAATATTTTTGGAAATAGTAGGCACGACAAGTTTTTTGCCGTAATGGGACGAGGGAAGTGGTTTTCCAAATCGAAATTTTGAAAATACATCTGAAAAACCCAAATCTTTGCTTGTTAGGTGTTTTATAAAAAAAATGACAAATAAAAGTCTGTCAACCCATTTTGTTAAGCGGCTGTGAAAAGTTTTGTTCCCATGGTTTCTCGATAAACCTGATAAAGATCTTTATGATTTGTTATAAAATCGAACTCCGTCCGTAAAGATATTTTTTGTTGTGTTCAACAGCCCAAACAACACCTAGAATTTTAAGTTGATTCGTTGAATTTTTAGTTTCGTGAGGATTTAGGAACTGGATAGCGAAAGAAACCTACCTCCAATTGTTCCCATGGAATCGTTCGAGCGTCGAGCCCAGACCATTGTGTTAGGTGTTCGAATTTTTTCTCAAACTTATTTTCACGTCGAAATGGGTGTTTTTGGTTAAACTAACGATTTCGATTATAAATTTCTCGAAAACTATTTTATGATCATCCTACGGAATGAATAAAGATTTCTTGTTTAGTAGCAGTGTTAAGGGGCTTCGAAGAACTGCAATATTTGGTAAGAGTTTATAAATTGTTGAGTTGAACCAAGAAATGAGCGTTATTCCATCAAGTTCCGAGGCATTGGGATGTGTTTCATTGCTATGGTTTTATCCTCCAGCTGGACTACTCTGGAATATAAATTTCTGAAACCGAGCCATTCACTTTCTATTTAAAACAACTGCAATTCGGTTACTTGACTGCGAAATTGTTCTTGTCGAGGGTTGAGAAAATCTTTTCAAAAATCGCTTTTTATTCGTCGAAGAAATTAAGATATCATCTAGATAAAAGTTGGTGAAAGTTTTCTTGCCATGGTTGACTCCATCACTCTTTAAAATTCATTTGGCAAATCGCCAAGTCCATAAAAACCAAATGAAAAATTGTAGATACCCGGTATGTTTTCTCCTACAATACTAAAATTGCTTACTCGTGAAGTCGTTTGAACAAATTTGACTGTAAGCGTTTTTGAGGTCTAAGTTTGTGAACGAAACTTCTCCGGCAGATTTTTCGGAAAGCTGTGATGCAACTTTATCTACTAAATTGTGAAAGTTTGGCATCTGGCTTTAATTTTTGGAGATTTGTTTTTGTTTTGAGTCAAACGCAAGCGTTTCTGATTTATCTTTCTTGCAGGTGATTAATATTTGGCTGATAAATCTATGTTTGTCGAACTTTTCGATCTTTTTCTTATGTTTTTCGGAATTTGTTATATTGAGTTCTTTGTTTACCGCTGGGATATTGTGTAACGATACCCGTCATTTGTTAATTGTCTTGGTTTCAAAAAAGTTGAAAATGGGTAATTTTAGTAGAATTTTTTTTTTGACAATCCCGTAAAAAAATTGGTAGAATTTTTAATTTTTTTTCTGTGTCATTCTTAAATGATCCGATGGAATTTAAGAAAAACTTTCTTTCAGTGTTTCTCTTGAAGTGGAGAAAAAGTTTCTGCGCGACTTTAATTCGGGATTGATAAGCAATGATAAAAAAATAAGTTTTCTCGTGAATCATCTGTTGGATCTGAATCTGTGAAGCCACAGTAAATATATTTTGTAGATTGATCGACTGAGTTGATTTTAAGGGGTCTCGCAATTTAAATTTATGTATTACGTTTTTGGGAAGTTCACTGGTCGTGCTGAGTTGACTTGGATATTAAATTGAAAACAAATTTTGTTTTCCCAATCCAATGTTCAGTAAATTTTTAGTTCGTTTCAGTCATTAACAGTTTTTGTTGTCACATTCAATACCAATAAGTCGTCAATATTGCTTTGTCATGATTCCGACAAACATTAATTACGTCGCAGCTTTCTTTGTGTACACGTTTTTTTTCTGCAGCTTGATCCTACGGCAGCTATTTACTGCAGTTTGATTCGGCCATGTATTAATTACGCCGCAGCGTTTTTATGTATATGTTTGCTTACTGCAGCTTCACCCGTCTCTTTCTTCTACATATTCAATTCTCTATGAAATGGCATTTGAAGTTACCTCATGTACAAATAGGTTCTTTCGCCGGAAAAACGAAAAGGTGTCCTTAGCAAGTTTTCCTCCACAATTTTTGCATGATTTTCCTCTATCTGCAGCTTGTTTTGGTTACCTTTTATCAAAATTCCAGTGGTTATTTACAGGGTTATCATTATTGCGCCCAAGAACTGTTCCAATTTTTTTCTTTCTCTTTGGCGTCTATTAAGTAGCTTGTGGCGTTCAAATGCTACGCTTGGTTTTCTAAGTTTATCCGGAGGAGTTTGACCTTTGAGAAATTTTGCCCAAATTTTCTTTTACTCCCCCCTCAAGTGCTAAGTAGAGCAAAGAGCGGATTTCTTTGTCTGAATTTTCCATTCGCATTCCGTTGAACATGAACGTCGCGGTTTCTAAATTGATTCTGGCTTTTTCGAGTTTGTTGAATCGTCTCATTTCTTCAGCGTGTTTTGCGATCCGATCCATTTCTGCCGTTTTAATTCAATTTTTGAGGTTCTTCCTCTAGGGGTCTCCCCTCATGCCAGCTTTGCTTGCAGATGACTGCGCCATATACTTTCGCTCCAACTAAACTAGGCTTAAAAATAAGAAGTATGGAATAGAGTTCAAAATAAGTGTGTTGTTTCTAAGTAAGACATAATAACACTGAATCTTGCTCACTCCGATGGAGGTTGCTAGCAGTAGACAAGTTCAAAAACGACCAGTTAGATAAAATGAGATAATAAAATTTTAAGACTTCACAACAGAAGGGAAAGCGCGCGTTGAAAAAACGCGAATTTTTGGTGCAAGTTTCGCAAAAAAGGCCTAAAAACGCAACTTTTTTGCAAAAACGCGTTGCAATATACGCAAAAACGCGTAAGTTCTGCGGCACAAAAATATTGGTCAAAACGTTCTTTTTAGCAATTTGGGAGACTTCAGAAAATCAGCTTAGTAAGCGTCTGAAAATTCACCCTCTCCTCCTCGAGAAAATCCTATATATGCCCCTGTCTGCTACTAAAAACAAAAAACTTAATGTGAATGGGAAAACTTTTATTACTCTTTGAATTTTTTGGGATTCAATTACCAAAAAAGCTAATTAGAATTTAAAAAAAAAAGATAAGTTGAGAAAACGACACTTTACTTGCAGTTCCCCGCCGAAAGCGCCTTGATGAACACAGAATACTGAAAGCGCCTTGATGAACACAGTTGACAATTATGAGAATTCTTTAAGACAAATAAAACTGTGCGAAAATCTTTGCGGCATAGTCACATAATTTACTCGCAGGTTACTAAACTAATCAAGATCATCGGCTAGGATGAACTTGTTGCGCAGGTGCTATGGCTACGAATATTTGTCAAACTGAGACCGAGTTTGATTTTTTTAATATATAAATGTTTTGCTTTGTTAAGTTTTTTTGAGATTTTAGAAGATTTGTGTAATAATAAGTTTGGTCAAAAACTATAAATTTCATCACTAAAATTGATCTGAGGATAAAACAAAGGAGCATTAAAATTTTTGTTTCTTTCAAAATTCTGAACAACAGTCTAGACTAGCGACAATTGCTTAATGCACATTGTATAGCTGGTCGCCAGTGCTTAAACACAAATTTTGAAGTTGGCTGACTTGTCACTGTCGGTAAGGTACCACGAGGGCCTTTCGCGATCCAGCGTGCAACAGTTCAACTATTTGGCCCAGGCATACAACAACACCCCTCAAAAAAGGACACAGCTGTATCCCTATCGTCGGGCTCTTCAGAAGCAAACAAAGATGCCAGCTGTCAATCCAAAGGTGAATCATGAAATTATCTGTCTTGATTTGTTAGTTCTTGCTTTTTTGCAAATCTATCTGGTTGAACGTTGTGTATGCTAATTGCGCAGCAAGCAGCTATCTTTGTTTTTATTAGCGCATCATTTCTTTTGCAGAGTGCATTTGTTTTCGTCTCTTAACAGCTGGGTTACTCAGGGCCCAGAATGCTGCTCTTCAACAACAAAGTAGCTCAGTTTGACAGACGAGTCAGGCGCATTCGCTGCAAAGGATACTATTTTTTTTTATAGCTGTGGATCTGCTGATTTTTTAAGCTTGCCTACTCATCTCCCTCCCCATCAAAACAACCTGCTTTTTTAGTTGGTGATCAAGTATGGTCAGTGGCTCAACAGTCCACGAGATGTGGGTTACAAACTGGACATGGAGAGTAAAAGGGACATCTTGGCTGAGTCATACAGGTCCAAACACAAGGAAAACTTCAACAAGTACAGTCGGGGAATGATTGTCAAAACTCCGAGAAAACAGAAAAAAAGTCAGCCTGAAGAAAAGCCAAAGCAGCAAGAGAATGAAGATTGAAACAAGCTAATAATAACAGTGTATTTTCAAAAGTAAGGTGTATTTCAAGATTAATTGTGTAAATTTTGGCAGCTTGATGTTTCCCATATCTTTTCAGCTTCTCACTTCAAAACTTAAACATGTTCAAAAATCGATGGCGCTGTACCGTTTACGAAAATCATATTGCACGTGACTACAAATGAAAATCCGTAATTGAGGAAAAAAGTTTTAGTTATCATCTTAGTCAAACAATTACTCCTAAGAGGTCCTCAAGGGCTCCCTCATTTGTACTATTTTGAATTATCAAATTTTGCCGATGGACCCTAAAGTTTTTCTAAAAGCGCCTTCGTCGCCAATTTTATCTAAGATTGAGGGTGAAAAAGCATTTTGCTTTTGATCAAAATTTTCCAACAAGTGCCTAAAAACGCTTTTTTTTCAACGCTCTGACTGTGGCGAAGAAAATTTGGCCAAAACAAGGTCTTTTTATTTGCTTTGAGAAAACTCGGAATATCTATTTAGTCAACCTAAAAAAAGTCGACAAAGTTTTCGACATTTTTTGAAAATCTGCCCCCTCGAGAGAATCCTAGATCCGCTCCTGTCAAAATGATTTTTTTTTGCGTGAAGCCAGAACCTGATCATGAATTATAGCCTATCTTAATACATAGGGTCAATCAACCCTTACCTTTGATCGGCTCATTTATTCACTGATCGTATTTAAACTTGAATTTAGAAAAAAGGACAAAAACGGTTTGTGGATTTATTGTAACCTTACGGTTTTTTTGTAATCATCTGAATTGTGCGAATCCCTTGAGATAAACAATTCAAAAAAAGGAGCTTGATTAGCTTTTTTTGAAAATCAGACATGAGAAAATAGTCTTAGTTAGCCCCGTATTTTTATGATCAGACTATCGCGACCGACCCGAGATGAGGTGCTCGACTCATGATTCGACCGAAATGGTCGAATGATGTCCGTTTATGACTTTTTCAGTCGAACGGTGTCCGATTTCATTTCCTTGAGTCGAACGATGTCTGTGTTCGACTTTGTTCGGCTTTACTGGACATTGCTCGACTTGTTCGACTTTGCTCGACTTTGTTCGACTACACCGAACATTGTTCGACTTTGTTCGACTTTACCGGACATTTTTCGACTTTGTTCGACTTAATAGGAAATTTTTGCTTTTACCGGGTTTTAGCCGAATCGTCCTGAGCTACAAAGAATCTTAGACATCAATCGACTGTTTCTCTCAAATCATCTGTCAAAAACCTCAACCTGGGCAGCCGCAAAATATGATTGAAAATGCCACAAATTTGGGCATCGTAGATTCGTGTGACCCGGGGTTGAGTTGTTGGATTTTCGATTCAATTAAATAGACCAAAAATGACTATGTTTCGACCGGTTTGTTTAACAATGGCTATGTTTTGACCGAATCGATCCAATTTGTCTATGTTTTGACCGACTTGATTTAAAAATGGCTTGGACTGTCTTCGATAGAAGCTAACCATGTAGCGACCGACTCCACCCAAGCTGGTTATGTTTCGACCGACTCGACCAAAGGAAAAAGTTATTGACACTGTTTGACGCTAGCCACTTAGACTTGGTCGTCGGACTCAGCCGATTGAAAATGTGATCGACCGAAGCTCGTTTTATCTCGAGCGACTCGAAAAAATTAGAGGTGTTTCGAACGTCTCAACCGAAAGAAAGTGTTTTTCCGACTATGTTTTACATTCACCTGGCTAATGGGTTCAACTAAGACCAAACGATAAAAATAGTGTGTAAACCAAGTAGGTAAGAAACCAACCAGAACAACTCAACTGAGGACAATAAGGCAACGAATAGCCATACACAGCTCTCAGTTCTAGAACAAAAAACTATTAAATTTGATATATTTTGGACTTACCTCGATAGCTGATTTTATTTTCACTGGTTCATCATAACTGACCATTTCTTTTTTTAATCAAAATACATTAAAAAATCATTGCATTATACACTTCAGAGCTCAATATTAGCTGCTCTTTTTAGTTGGGACGAATGCTTTTCAACATATAAGCGTAACGACATTACAATTACCTGGCGATGACCAAATGATATTTTTAACCGATGGTAAAGGAAGGCAGTATTGATGTAACGCCTGCGTCGAGTTATTACCTTCTTAAAACACTCAGTTAAAGCTCAGAGTGGTTGCACAGTTCACACAGAGTCCATGTAGTTTCAGTAGAAATGATTAGACAAACATGATCATAGAAATATTTATTTATTGTTCCTTGTAGTATTTTCTGCGTATTTCGTGTGTTGTCCTACCCAAATTGTGATTATAAACTTTTGACGACATATTACAGCCAATGTGGGCATCTAGAAACGCTCAAATCGATTTGATAATGTAAACCTGATTGGGCACCGTTGGAGCCATGGCCAAAATTGCGCTGGTGTCTTTTTAACTTATTTGTCGTCACAAAATCAGTGTTTTTCAGGTTTTTCTAGTTGCAATAATGGAATGTATGAGGTTCTCTGCACAATGAAACGTGTCAGACGCGCCTAGAATTGCTCGTTACTGTACAGAAAAAAATCAAAAACATTCGCAGCAGACTTTGTTTTATCGAACAGATAACTTTCTAAAAGGATTGTTGTTTATACATCGGATACGAAATACACACTTTCGAATGAAGTTTTTTTCCAAATTTGACGACACGGGACGGCCAATGTGGCTGTCTCGATCAGCTCTATTTTATTTGATTTTGTAAGCCTAGCAACTCAGCGATGAAGTCGTGAGCAAACTTTTGCTGGGGTGTTTTTAACTTAATGATCTTGTCGACATAAAATCAGTGGTTTCAGATTTTTTTTAGTCTTGATTTCAATACACACTTTCGAAGGACGAGTTTTTGCGTTTTTGACGACACATGACAGCCAATGTGGCTGTCTCGAGGAGTTCAATTTCAATTGATTATGTGAACCAAGCATGTTTGTGTTAGAACCGGGAGCAAAGTTGCGCTGGGTTGTTTTTAATTTAATGAACCTGTGGACATAAAATCGGAGGTTTTCAGATTTTTATAGTCAAGATAATCAAAAATATGAGGCTCTCTACACGTTGAATCTTGCAGACGCGCCTATAATTGATGGTTACTTTTAGACACTAGTTAATAACACTCTCAGATGAATTTGGTTTATCTAGAATTTGGTTTATCCTTGGATAGTTGCTACACACTTTCGGAGGACGGGGTTTTCCATTTTTTACGACACGTAACGGTTAATGTGGTTGTCTCGAACAGCTCATTTTTATTTGATTAGGTAAACCTAGCAAGGCACCGTTGGAACCGGGAATATTGTTCCGCTGGGCTGTTTTTAACTTAATGAACTTGTCGACATAAAATCGGTAATTTTCAGATTTTTTGTCATGATAATTGAAAGTATGGGGTCCGCTACATGTTGAAACTTGTCAGATGCGCCTAGAATTGCTCCTTACCAAACAGACAATAGCTCTTAACACTCTCAGAAAAATTTGGTAAATCTAAAAGATCAGTTTGTAAAAAGGTTGTTGATTTTCTCTTGGATAGATTCTACACATTTTCGAAGGAGGAGTTCTTTCATTTTTGACGACACATGAGAGTCAATGCGGGCATCTCGAAGAACTCAAAATAATTTGATAATGTAAACCTCATAGGGTGTCGTTGGAACCATGGGCAAAATTGTTGTCACAAAATCAGTGTTTTTCAGATTTTTTAGTCGTGATAACGAATGAATGGGGTTCTCTTTACGTTGAGACTTGTCAGACTCGCCTAGAACTGCTCGTTACCGTACAGAAACTAGTTAGTAACAGTCTCAAAAGACTTTGGTTTATCGAATAGTTCACTTTCTATAAAGTTTGTTGTTTTGCCTTTGGATGGATATGCTACACATTTTTGAAGGACTAGTAGTTTTCCGTTTTTGACGGCAAATGACACTCTTAGTGGTCATCTCGAAGAGCTCAAAAATGTTGCATACAACACTTATTTGTTTATTGGAATATTGAAGTAAATTGCAAAAGTTGAAACAAAAATTACAATAGCTGAAACAAAAAGTAGTTTTTGCTTCTTTTTAGTAATTAGAAATCTCATTTTTCATGTAATCTTTTTATAGCATGAACTCTTTGGCAACATCGAATGATGAACTAACCTGGATGATAATGTTAATCTGGATGATAAAAGAATAAGATCGCTTTGTGAAGTAAGAACAAAATGATAGTTTTGTGAAATAAGATAGTTTTGTGATAGTTTTGTGAAATAAGAACAAAATGGGGATATGGCTTGCAAATTTGGAAGATGTGCGCAAAATTTGTACCAAAATTGTAAAAAAGTATCACAGTATAATGTTGTAGTAATTCTCGTAGGAAAAATAGTTTTAAGCGTGCAAAAATTGAAAAATGTATAAAATAGTTTTAGAAAATATTAAATTATCAACATTGTGCTGTTACTTCCTCGAACAAATCATGACCAAAACAACTGGGGAATTTTCAATGTTTGCCTCAAATTAACGTTCGAAGACAAATACTACTCCAATCACCATTTAAATTCCGCCCATTTGCGAAGGTAAAGAAAGGCTATCACCTTCAAAATTTTTATCAGGAGAAAATGATGAAGCTCATAGTGGTAATAATTGAAAAAGTTTCACTGAAAAGTAACTAAAAGCCTTTGCTGCAGAGTTTTATGTCTACCTTGTTCAAGTTTTCGGTTTCAATTTATAGTTTTATTTCAAGTTGAAACAAAATCCTTTACAGTTTTGCTAACCACATCATCTTTGTTATGTTTTCCCAAACCCTTTTGCATTGTTTTTTTTCCTACTGAGATCCAAACGAAATTATCTTACAGCGGAGACACTAATCTATCTTTTAAAAAAGCGTTCGTTACTCTTATGACCATTCAACTTGTTTAGATGTAGTTTGTTTCAATTATTTACTTCAAAAAACACAGAAAAAAAATATGAAAAAAGTTTATAAAAAAATTAGCTCTCTTATTTAAATCGTTAGTTCTCTTTGTTCGTTAGTTCTTTTAGTTCGTTAGCTCTCTCCGTTCGTTAGTTCTCTTA